AAAAAAAAAGAAAAACCGAAAGTGCCGATGGCTTCGAATAAGCAAAGGGAAAGATGAAAAGTGATTCTTTACTTAAATAAATAAAAAATATTCAGCATGCAATATGAGAATGGCGGAGAAAATGACCCAAAAAATGGAGTACATTAGATCTTCTCCTTGTATTTTATTCTAAGACTAAGAATCATAATTTAAAAACCATGTTAACCAGTGTCGTTTTTCCACGAAGGTGCAGCCACGTCCTTCGAGAAATTTCAAAAGCTTAAGTCAATCTCGCCAGCTGAAATTAATAATTAAAATCCAGTCATCCACACGTAAGATCAGCTATCTTTGATCACGACACCTTTTGTTTTTTATTACATAAAAAATAGATATGTACATAATTTAATCATTGATAATCTCCTTGCTTACTTCACTAACCTTCTGTACTCCAGCGTCGGCCATCCCAACAAGTTGAGCCTTCCAAATCAAATTCTCTAAGTTATCTAAATTCATGCCTCCACGGACGAGATGTCACATTATTATTTTTATTTATAAATCATGAAAAGTACATATATAATGAAAAGAAAAATAATTAATACGGAATATAGTTTGACATATTTTTAAATATTCGTTCAGTTTGATTGTTAAAATATAATATAAATATAATTAATTTAATTAACTTTTATATTATATATAGTTATATTTTTAAATTTATTTATATTTAATTTTAAATTAAAAAAAATAGTTTTTAATAAATATATTATATAATATATTAAATTAAAATATATAACAATTAATATCTATAACAAAAATGTTTAGTGTGATTTAAATTATATATATATTAAACTAACTATTGGATCACTCATCTCTTTCTAACAATTTAATATAATTCTAACGGTTGAAAAAGAACTGTACGTATAATCATGAGTAACAAATATAAGAATCAATAACTTAAAGATTTAGTAAAAATCTCTTTTCAATATAGTTCTTCTACTTCATTTTAATTGTTTCACCATTTGAGTTTATGTATACCGAAATAATTTAAAAATTGATTAAAATCTATAA